TGCAGGCTCAGAGATGGGCCTCCGGGCCCAGCGGTAAAGAGACTTCCTGTTCCCCGGTTTCTGCTCCTGGTCAGAGCTTTACTCCACACGGCCCCCGGAGCTGTGACAACCATCCGCTGACACCTGGGATGGCACCCAACACCTTAGGTGGCAGCTCGCACCCGCATTAACAAGTGTGGGAGCAGCTCTGCCCACGTGGACAGGAGTGGGGTGGCCTTGGGGGGTGGGGTGGAAGGGGGAGCCTGCAGCACACACTTTCCGGACTCCTGTGTGTCTGGCGGTGAGCAGTGACGCCCCCACTCCAGACTCCTCATGACGAACTTGTGCAAAGAGCTCCAGCATCCTGTGGCCAGAAGTGGAGGCCCAGGATTCTGACACCATACACATGTTCACACGGATGCGTCTCTGTCTGATCTATTTCCTCTGGGGACCGTCATACCCTGAATTCATCAGACCATGAATGTGGACGGGGTCTTTTCCTCTTGATGATCCCAGAACCCAGCACTGGAACTAGTAATATATGATGGATGTATGGTACGTGGTGAGTGGTATGTGGCAAATGGATGGTGAAAGGTGGTTGGAGAGTGGATGGTGACTGGGTTGGATAGTTAATGGGTGGTGGGTGGTGGGTGGTGGTTGGAGAGTGGATGGTGACTGGGTTGGGTGGTTAATGGGTGTTGGATGGTGGATGGTGAGTGTTGTGTGTTGGATGGTGGATGGTGGGTGGTGGGTGGTGGATGGAGGGTAGTGGCTGGTGATGGTGGGTGATGGCTGGTGGTTGATGAGTGGTGGGTGGTGGGTGATGGGTGGTGGGTGGTGGGTGATGGATGGTAGGTGATGGATGGTGGATGGTGAATGGTGGCTGCTGCCTGGGAGTAGTGGGTGAATGTTGTTAATATTCCAGCAGAATATTAAACAAATAATACATGTTTAATATTATATTTATCAATAAGTACATGTTTAGTTTATAAATAAATGGGCAAACGAACGGTAAGAAGGTGGGTGGATGGATGGATGGATGGATGATGAGTGAGTGAGTGATGAAGATGGGTGGTGGAGAGATGGGAGGGAGAACGGCTCCCTGATGTTTATGTGTATGGATTGCATACACATAGGGATAGTAGAAGAGAGCATGTCAGGTTGATGGACAGGTGGTTACCAGGTCGGTGGATGGTTGGTGAGGTGAAGGGCTGGAAGGGGAGGTGAATAAACGGATGAATGAAGCCATAGTCGGTAGACTGTGGGGGTGAGTAGATGATGGTAGGATAGGTACCGGGAGCATGCTAGGTTGTGGGCGGATGGGAGTTGGTGGGTGGTGAACGCAGCTATGTAATGGTAGTTGGCTAAGATTGTAGATTGGATGGAGGGTAGAGGGGTATGGACACAAAATTGATGAATTGACGGAAACTGAAAGAACCTAGAGTGGATTAATTGCAGGTAACAGGTGGTGACTGGTGGCTGAACCACAGAAGTATGGATGGTGGATAGCTAGGAAGTGGATGATGGTGATGATCTTTCCGTAGAGAATGAATAAGCAGATGAGAAATAAGTGTGAATGGATAATGAGTGGTGGACAAGTATGTGGTGGCAGGATAGTGCATGAGTGGGGCATAGATGGCAAATAAATGGGTGGCTCCTCCGTGGCCGGGTAATGGGTTGTGTCCTGTGGACGTGGAGATGGAAGGTGAATAGGGAATGGATAATGGGTTCTGGGTGAATAGATGATGATTAGGTGATTAATGGCTGATGGCTGATACGTGGTAATATCTTAGAAAAGGGATTCACGAAAGGCAAGTGGTGGAGACGGTGGAGAGATGGATGGATGGTGCGTGGTGAGTGGTATGTGGCAAATGGATGGTGAGTGGATAATGAATGAAGGTGGATGTTGAATGAATAGTGACTAACGGATGGGGGATAATGCACACATAATGAGCAGATGGTGGTGGGCGGAGTGCGATGGTGGGGGAATGCTCACTGCTCTCTCTGCACGCTATCCTCTGTCCTGAGCACCTAGCGTAATGCGTGGCACATAGAAGGCGCTCCATCCATCTTCTGGAGGAAATGACTGTGGATGGTGGTAGGTGACACTTTGGATGAAGAGAGAATGAAAGCTGGTGGTAGATGGACAGATAGAAGATTCTGTGAGGTGGACAATGAATGGGTCGATGGGAGTAAGAGATGGTTGGGTGGTGGGGGTTGGTAGGGGAAGTAATTGGTGGGTTGTAGTTCATAAAGATACGAATGGATGAGGGTTCGAATGACTGGTGGTGAGTGAATGTGGATGGATGAACTGTGGCTGATTGAATGGCTGGAGGCTCATGGGTGGGTGGTGAATCAATCCGGATAGGTGAACAGCAGATAGATGGTGGATTGGCTTTGGCAGCCAGATGTGTGGTGACTGTATAAATGAACGGCAGGGGGGTAGATAGGTGTTACATATTGATGGAAAGTTGTTATATAGTGAATGGTGGGTGGATGGATGGTGAATGAATGTTGGACTGATGGGTATTTTCATAATGTGCTAATGCTTAGTAAGGGGAGGGTGGGAATGGATGGGAGCATGATGGGTGGTGGTGGTGGTGGTGGTTGGAGAGTGGATGGTGACTGGGTTGGGTGGTTAATGGGTGTTGGATGGTGGATGGTGAGTGTTGTGTGTTGGATGGTGGATGGTGGGTGGTGGATGGTGGGTGGTGGGTGGTGGATGGTGATGGTGGGTGGTGGGTGGTGATGGTGGGTGGTGGGTGGTGGGTGGTGGTTGATGAGTGGTGGGTGATGGATGGTGGGTGATGGATGGTGGGTGATGGATGGTGGATGGTGAATGGTGGCTGCTGCCTGGGAGTAGTGGGTGAATGTTGGGTGGTGCACGATAGGTGACAGTGGTTGGAGGAATGGGTGTGGATGAGGGACGGTGGGTGCTGAATGGAGTTGGATGCTGGATGCTGGGAGGTGGGAGGGTGGGGATTGGGCAGATCAGAGGTTGGCGCCGTGGCCTCAGGAGTCGAGGCTGTACATCCATCTGGCTGAGTGGGACCCACGTCCAGAGCTGTTTGCTCCTTTTTGGGAATGGGATGGAGGTGAAAACACACACACACACACACACACACACACACACACACGCACACGCACACCATGGCCCTGCACGTCCTCGCCGCTCTCCCTGTCCTCTCCCCTCCGGCTGGGAAGGTGTCCTTCCTCGTGTCTGGCCCCACCAGGCTGTGCCCTGAATTCCTGAACCGCACCCTGGGCGCTTGGGACCTCCAGGGAGGGGTCAGGTTGGGGGATGCGGTCCTGATCAGGCCGAACACGGGGTCTACGGGGAGCGGAGCCCCCGGACAGAACAGCGGGCGCGGGTGTGAATGAGGGGCGGCGGCGAGCGCATGGGCGGGGTGCGGGGAGGGAGCAGGCGGGGGGGGGGGAGCGGAGGGGGGGGCTGGGGCTGGGGCTGGGGGGGGGGGGAGGAGCGGGGAGGGGTGCGGGGGCGGGAGCGGGGGAGGCTGCCGCGCAGGGCAGCAGCGCCAAGCGGAGCGGAGCGGGACTGGGCGCAGCGTCCGGCGCGGTGAGTGCGGAGCGGGCGCCTCCCCGGCCGCCCCGTGCGCCCGGCGGGCAGGGGAAGCGGGAGGGTGGGTTCCATGGGAGACCCGGGAAGAGGAGGGCGTGGGGCCGCGGGAGCCGCTGGCTGGCGGCGGGAGCAGTGCCTGGGGCTGCACCCCAGCTGGCCTCACACCGGATCCGGGAGGAGGGGGTGCTGGGAGCCTTCGTGCCCCGCGCCCGCGGGCACTGGCCCTGGCGGGGGAGGCAGCCGCTCCGGGCTCGGCAGGTGCCAGCCTCACCTGCGGCGCATCCTCTCCTCTGGGGGCGCCTTTCTGGGCCCGTGTCTGTCTCAGGGTCCCCTCCGCTGGCCCCTCTGCCGTCTGCGGGTCCCCCTCCTCCCTGGCCGCAGCCGCTCTGCGCTCCGGTGAGACGGGGCGGGCTCCAGGGGAGGGTCAGGCCTGGGGGGGGGTCCACCTGGGATGAGAGGGGGCCGGTGGGTGTGGTGGCTGCCCGCCCCCAGGACCCCCAGAGCCCCCCGGGGCAGTGCCTCCCAGCCGCTCAGGGGCCAGGGCCGAGCTGTCCTGAGCTGGGTGTTCAGGAGCCCCACTGCCCAGAACAGCGGCCCCCCTTTCTCCGGGCGCCCGGGACCCTCCCCCGCCGGCGTGTCCCCTGCTCGCCCTCTCCCAGCCCCGCTCCTGCCCTTGCCTGTCCCTGGCCGCCGCCCAAGCAGTGCCAAAGGGAGGCGTCTGCCTGCCAGACTCAGCCCGGCTCTTTTCTTCCTCGTTTTTTAAATTCTCACCGAGGATATGTTTCCCTATTGATTTTTTAGAGAGTGGAAAGGAGGAGGAGGAGAGAGAGAGAAACTTCAATGTGAGAGAGACACATCAACTGCATCGACGGGAGACACCCGACCCAGGTATGTGCCCTTGACCAGGAATAGAACCCAGGACGCTTCGGTGCGTGGGCCAGTGCTCTAACCACTGAGACTGCTGGCCAGGGCCCACCCACTTCTCCCTCTGGCTCAGTGCAGGCGGCGAGTCTGAGGCTGGGGCGCCTCTGCCTCTGGCTGACATGAACCCGGGCCTGCTGCCCCCGCCTCCAGTCTCAGAAGCCAATTTGGATCCCTCTGCCCCACTTCACTCTCCTTCCCCCCCACCTCCCTGCTGGCCTGGCTCCCTCCTCAGGTCAGCTGACCCTCTTCCAGGAACCTTCCCAGGTCTTCAGGCTGCATCAGCCTCCGCCCTCCTGCCGCCCTCAGAGCCCCAGGCACTCGGTGTGGTGCCGCCCAGCGCCCTCTGCTGGTGGCAGGGCAGGAGGGGCAGTGACAGAGGTCCAGCTGGGTGGGGGGTGCGGGACGGGCCGTGCTGGAGTAGCGCGAGGTTTCCGGGGGCGGGGCACCCGCCTCAGGCCACCGCCGGCCTGTCCTCACGTCTGTCCACTCACTGTCCTTCCGCCCCGCAGGCCGCAGCATGAGTGGCCCCCCGCCCCGCGTGCCGGAGCCCAGCCCAGCAGAGGGGGCTGGAGGCCCAGCTGGAAAGGTATGGGTCTGGGGAGGGGCCAGTCCTCAGCCTGGAGGGACAGGAGGAGCCAGGCTCAGGCCCCGCTGTGGCTTGGAGCCTGCCTCAGTTTCCCCACCTGCAGTGGGGAAAGTCTGGTGGGGAAATTGAGGGGAGGCTGAGCTGCCCTGGCCCAGCTCACCCCTGTGGGCTGCAGGGCTGGGTCTCAGGGCAGTTCTCTGCCAGGCTAGGCAATGCCAGGGCCCTGCCCTCCGCTCTGGGTTGGGGGGGGCCCATGCTCCCCCCACAAGGCCTCGTGCTCTCCTTCCCAGCGCTGTGCGGGCGGCAGGGCGGGGGCATCAGGCGGCCGGCAGCCCGGGGTGCAGACCCAGCTCCCTCCCGGGCGGGTGGACAGAGAGGGGGCCAGGCCTGGGAGCTCCATGCTCTCTGCCTGGGCCCCCTCCCGAGGGGCAGCGACACCCTGTCCCCTCCTCTGCCCAGGCAGGCGGGAGGCGGGCCGAGGCCGCAGCCAGGACCCCTCTGACCACAGCCCCAGCCCGGGACACCTCTCCTCACACTTCAGGGCCCTGGGACATGGTGCACAGCAGGGAGCCGGGCGGGAGCCGGGTGGGCACCTGAGCGCAGGGCAGGTGGTGCCAGGGCTGTGTGCCCGCCTTCCTCACGGCTCTCCCTGGTTGGGGAAGGTGGACCGCGCACCACCTGCTACCTGCTGGGCGAGGGGCCTCCAAGAGGGACCAGCCTGAGCAGGGCACTGAGGGGTACAGAGGGGCGGGGAGGGCAGGGAGGGGCAGGGAGGGACACGGAGGGGCAGCAGGTGGGGAGGGGCACAGAGGGGTGGGAGGGGCACGGAGGGGCAGCGGGTGGGGAGGGGCGGGGAGGGCAGGGAGGGACGGGAGGGGCAGTGGGTGGGGAGGGCAGGGAGGGGCGGGAGGGGCGGGAGGGGCAGCGGGTGGGGCGGGCGGGCCGCACAGTGGACTGGCGCTGAGCCTCTGCCCCGCAGCCTCCAATGGGAGGTGGAGATGCCAAGAGCACGGAGGGCGGAGGGCGTGGGAGGCGCCCGCACACTCTGGTGGGCACCGAACAATGAGCCTGAGGGAGCTGCTCCGGTCGCCACGGCAACTGCTTCCCAGCTCCTCTGAGCAGGGAGGAGGCCAGGACCAGCAGGGGACCCGGAAGGGAAGGGGCGGTGCAGGGTAGGTGCTGGTGGGAGTGCAGTCACGGTGGTGCGGCCTCGCCAGCCTCGGCTCCTGCCTGCAGAATGGAGCTGTGACCCCCAGTGCCCCGGGCCCAGCCCGGGGGCGGGTGGAGGAGGGGCTGGGGCCCTCTCAGAGCTGTGGGCGAGGGTCCCAGCACAGGGTGGGGGGAGAGGGGAGCCCAGGGCCCGCACCGCCCTGACCCTGCCCGCCTCCCGCAGGCTGCGGCGGGCGCCAGGGAGAAGGGCCCGCGGCTGGGCCCGCGGCTGCCCTCTATCGTGGTGGAGCCCACCGAGGCGGGCGCTGTGGAGAGCGGGGAGCTGCGGTGGCCCCCGGAGGGCGTGCAGAGCCAGGCTGCGGCTGGTGAGTGAGGGTGCTGTGCCCCAAAGGGGGTCAGAGCAGGCCTCCCCCCTCCCTGCCCGCCGGTCCACCCAGCAGGCAGGCCCTTCACCCTCCACCTCCCCACCCGCCCCGCAGCCCGCCCTGTGAGCCTCTGCCTGGAGCCTAGGCACTGCCTGGCCTTGCACTCCCCACCCACCCCCCAACCCCCAGTCACCGGCTCACACAGTCCCTCACCCACACCCGGGTCCGCACAGGGGTGAGCAGGGAGCACCTGTTGAATGAATGACTGCAGGGTCTCCCCCTCAGCACCAGTCCCACCTCCTCCCTCCCTTCCTCCCCTCGCACTGTCCACTAGGGCCAGGAGGGCTGAGGGTATGGGTGCCAGGTGCCGAGCAGGCCCAGCCCAGGTGGCGATGGCCAGCCATGGCAGGCTTGTCCTGCCCACAGGCGCTGGTTGGGGTCTGAGGGCCGAGGCGGGAGCTGGAGGAGCAGTGAGGGTGGGAGGGCCAGCCAGGAGCCCGCCGGGGGACTCTGTGGAGGGCTCGTGGGCAGCGGGGTCTCTTGTGTGGTTTGGAGATGAACTTGGTCTCAGCTGGGGTTGCTTTGCACCTGCCTGCCCTCTCCCCCTCCTCACATGTCATCCCCACACACCCACACAGCAGCCCCTGGAGCTTGGGCCTGGTAGGGGCCTGTCCATGCCATAGCCCACCATCCCCCCACACCGTCCCTCCCTCTGTCAGTTCCACGCAGAACGGCACCAGGACACCCCTTCTGTGGGACTTGGGTCCTGGGGCGTCCCCAGGTCTGCCTGGGACCCATCTGCTGCCCCTTATTGGGGAGGGGGGGTCAGGGGTCCCAGAGTTTGACCTCATCCTTCCTCCCCACCCAGGGGTGTCTCAGCACCCCTCCTTCCCACGTGGGGAAGTTGCAGCCAGCCCCCCACCCCCCAAGGTGCAGCCCCACCAACAGGGCCCTTCTTGTCTCGCAGCCCCCTCGCCGAGCCTGCCGGGAGCACCCAGGGACACGCCAGGCCACCCCGGCAGCCAGTGTGCCGGCTCCGAGGCCCAGGGGTAGGACCAGGCCGGGGCCGGATTCCACTGTCCCTGCCGACGGCCACTGCTCCCTGATTCCGCTGTCCTGCTGAGGGCCACTGCTCCCTGAGGCCGGGAAGGCCTCAGCCCGGATAACGCCTCCTCTGCTCACCCCTCTGGCCTCTCCCCTCCGGCCAGGCCCACAGCGCCCCCTCTCTCACCCAGGGCGGGGCGGGACCACCCCTCCGTGTTCTGTGGTTTGAAGCAGAAATAAAGGCGTGTCTAGGAGTGGCGACCTCGGTGGGGACTGGAGGGGCCGAGGACAGTTTGGTTCTGCCGCTGGCCGCCCAGCAGGGTTTCTGCTCGGAGCCCCATGGCCAGGCAGGAGCGGCTCCCGGACCACCGCGCCACCCCTCCTGGGGGCCTGCAGCCCCGAGGGACCCTGCGGGCAGGACTCTGCTCTCACCCCTCTCTCCTGGGCAGGAATGGTACGGGGTGGGCCCTCTTCCAGGCTGGATCCCGTGAAATCCTACGAGGCCCAGTTCACAGTGAAGGTCCCTGAGGTGTGAGGGAGGTGCCCAAGGCTTTAAAGGGGTCCCTGAGGCCGGGAAGCCGCCAGCTGGACACAGCCCACCTGGGAGGTGAGGGTCCTGGTGCCACTGCCGCTTGGCTCGGGCCCACTGCACCAGGAGAGGGGGCAGAGGCCTGTCACTGCCTGGCCACTCTCCTGGTGTGCCACCCTCCTGCCAGGACCTTGCCCTCAGCAAGCCTGGCCACGAGGCCAGCGGAGCCTCAGGGCCTGGCGGGCAGCGGGCATGAATGTCGGCCCCACAAACACCCAGGCGCACGCAGGCAGTGGGACCGGGCGGGAGCCCGCCTTCTAACCTCCAGGAAGAATAGGGCTTCTCCAAGCCCCTTCCTTCTAAAAACAGCCCCCCCCCCATGCAGGAGAGGTGGGGGCGGAAGTGCCAGTTTGCCTGTGGCCTAGGGTCTGCTTTAAGTTTAGTCTCGGGACCCCTGCGCCCCCACACAGGCCCAGGCGCTCCGTGGCCTCCCCTGGTCTGCAGCGTGGGAGGGGTGTTGGGTCCTTCAAGCCCCGGGGTCCCCCAGGAGGTGGGAAAGCGGGGAGACACTTCCCAGGAAGTGCTGCGGGGGCCTGCTGACACTTTAGGGCCAGGCACGGAGGGGAGGGGGTCCAGGTCCCCCTGTGGCAGGCGGGAGGGCGATGGTGCCACACGCAGAGATTTCTCCTCCCCCTCCCAGCCATTTGCACGTGACTTCCCCACGCCCCGCAGCCGACCCACAGCTGAGCTCGGAATCCCAGGTGCTCGGAGGCCCAAGCATGCGGCCCCCTCAGTGCCACTCGGGAGCGCCCGGTGCCCGGCGAGCTGGGAGGAGGGGTGCACACCCAGGAGGCAGCCCTGAGGCGGGCAGAGCATCCCTACCCCGTCCTTGGCTCCCGGAGCAGCTCAGGAACCCACAGCCGCCCACCGGCACGGGGCTCCCGCTTCTCTGGGGCGGTGGGGGTGGCGCCCGGGAGACGCCCCGCCCAATGGGCCTCCGCACGGGCCGCCGCCGGTGTTGGCGGTACCACCTTGAAGATGGGAGCTCGGCCAGCCCCAGCCAGTGGGGGCCCAGGATGGAGCCCCGGCCTCCGGCTCTCAGTCCGGCTCCGTCTCCGGTGGGATCTGCCCCGTGGACTCCGCACGGGGTGAGGAGCGCCAGGGTCAGACGGGCACCGGGTGCTGAGGGTCCAAGTCCTGCCCTCCCCCACTGGAACCAGGTCCTGCGGAGGCGAGCCCATTAGACCCACAGCAGCCCTACCTCATGGAGGAGAAAAGGGCTCAGAGTCAGCAGTGCCTCTCCCAAGGGTGCAGCCCAGCCATGACTGCGACCTCCGACCTCCGTCTGCCGTCCCCCAACCGGCCAGACTGGCCCTGGCCCAGGCTCCCGTCTCAGGCCTTTCCAGGGGGATTCCGCTCAGAATGCTGGGGAAGCAACAGGGACAGGGACGTGGAACAGAAGACGCGTTACAGCGTCTGGCTGAAAACTGGCCTCGGCCTGGGCAGGTTGGGGCGCAGCCAGCCTCGGTGACTGCCTGCATGGAGGGGCATGGGGGGGAGAAGTGCAGGAGCGACCCCAGCCCTGGGCACCACCAGCTTTCCAGGGCCTGTCTGCTGGGTGGAGGTCCCAGGACGTGCCCTGTGAGCGAGGGGGGAGGAGAGTTGGACGGAGGGTCCCCCAGGGCCTGTCCCCAGGGGATGCCCAGTCCTCTGAGGTGGAAACCGAGGCTGGAGGCTGGTCTCTCGCGCCAGCTGTGGGCCGTGAGCAGTCCTGTGCTTCCGAGTCAGAGCCCAGTGCAGCGTGGGTGGAGGGCACCTGCCCACAGGGCACCCAGCAGGAGCCCCCACGGAGCAGCCCTGGGAGGGCGCCTCTGTCTCTGGAACCATGCTCGCCCCTCCCATCTGTCCGGCTCTCACTTAGAGATGCAGGGAATGGAGGCCGCGGACAGGCAGCCGGAGTGAGGGGGGACGGCCCACCCAGCCAGCGGGGTGCCCTGCGGGCTGGAGCTGGGACTCTTACGACCCCACTTCACAGAGGGGCACGCAGGCTCAGGGGGCTCATCACCCCAGTGGTAAACCCAGGGCTTCCCAGGGAAGGTGCTGGCAACGTAGCGCCGCCCCCCCCCCCCCCCACGTGGCCCACCTGCAGGCAGCAGAGTGCTGCAGCAGCCCCGCCTTCCCGTCGGTAAGGGCTGGGTTTCGCTCAAACATTTCTTACGCTGGGACCCAGGTCTCTGCATTGGCAGAGTGGGTGCCTGGGCATGCTTACGTCAGAACGAGGCCAGCAGGTGGGTCCGAACCCAACATGGCCGACGTCCTTATCAGAAGAGGGGACACACGTGCAGAGAAGCAAGGCCACGGGGACATGAGAAGAAGACAGCCACCCCCTAATGGGTTTGGCTCGGTGATAGAGCATCGGCCTGCGAACTGAGGGGTCCCGGGTTCGATTCCGGTCAAAGGCATGTACCTTGGTTGTGGGTACCATCCCAGTAGGGGGTGTGCAAGAGGCAGCTGATCGATGCTTCTCTCTCATCAATGTTTCTAACTCTCTTATCCCTCTCTCTTCCTCTCTGTAAAAAAAAATCAATAAAATATATTTTTAAAAAAGAAAAGAGAGATGGCCACCTTCAAGCCAAGGAGCGGGGCCTCAGGAGACACCAGCCCTGCGCTCACCTGGGCCCCGGCCACCAGCCTCCAGCGCCCGGAGAAATACCATCTGTGTTTGCGGGCCTCCGACAGCAGCCCACAGCTTGTCTCCGTCATCCCCCTCCCCGGTGGCTCCCGCCCAGGTGGGACAGGCCTGGATCTGTCCTCCTGGGTTTTCCCTAGGTTTTTTCGGGGCGGCTCCGGGCGGAATCCCCCACGGCAGGGCGGGGGAGCCTCTTCTGGGAAGTCTCCGTGACCCTTCCTCCCAGGAAGCTCTTCAGCCCAGCCTGGGAGTCCTGGGCCTGCCCCGCGCCGCTCCCAGGCGGACCCCTGCCCAGGGAGTCCAGTGCACCCAGTGCTGTCACCTGTCCCCCCTAGGCAACCCTCCCCCTTGCCCCTCACCAGCCGGGCCCATGGTTCTGCTCTCCTGGCTCTCAGGCGGCCCCTGGGGCAAGTCTGAGCCTGGCAGGCAGGCCTGGAGCTGGCACCTCTGTCCTGGAGGGTGCAGTGGGCCAGGGTCCCCCTGGCCCGGGGCTGACCGCAGGGGGAACTGGCAGTGGGAGCTGGCCCCAGGGGCGTCCACTGCTCCGGAGCCGCCTCCTGGTCCTGGAGCTGCAGCCTGAGCCCGGCCGGGCTGCCAGGACTCAAAGGTTGGAGAGATTGGCTGGAAAGGCAGGGGCTGGAAAACTTCTGAAAGTGAAAGTGGGGGGGAGGGCGGGCTGGGGGAGGGGCCGGTGGGCAAGGCAGTGGCTGGCTGCTGGCTGCAGCTGGGAAGTCCCAGCTGTCGTCGCTGGCTCTGGCTGCTCCAGTGGCCTCACCGCTGGCCAGCGCTGGGGCGCGCTCCGAGGCCTCTCCTGGTGGCCTTGTCCCGCCAGGGCCGGTGTCTCCATGCTCAGCAGGTACGTCCCACGCAGGTGGAGCAGGAGGGTGACGGGCGCTGGGGCCGGTGGGCGGGGACTCGGGGAGTGAGGACCTTCCGGGCCTCCCAGGGGCCTTCCGGCCAATGGCCTCTGCTCCACTTGGGGCCCAGGCCAGCGCGCCAGCTAAGCCACAGTGGACACACAGGCAGGCAGGGACATAAGACACATGCGGGCACAGACGGACGGACTTGGGGAGAGCACTCGCAGACCGCCTGACACATACCTTCTAGATCAGAGGCGCACGCAAGGGGACACACTTAGACCAACGCACAGAAGTGCGGGCACACCCACGTCTTCCACTCCCACCTTAGACGGCTTATCTGTGTTCCTTGGGCACCTGCCCAATGGGTCAGGCCCAACCCTGCCCTGAGGGCGCCCTGGTTAGAGGGCAGATGCCCCAGACCCTGTGATTGCCCCTGAGGACGGGAGAAGGTCTGCCAGGGCCAGACCAGACTCGGAGCGGGAGGTGCTGAGCGCGCTCTGCGGTTCAGCTGGTCCGGAAGGCTTCTGGGAGGAGGAGTCACTTGTGCGGAGCCCTGAAGAGCCTTGAAGGAGCTGGCAGCCGGGGAGGTGGGGGCGTCACTGTGGGCAGAGGCACAGCCCTGCAAACTGGGGGAGAGGTGAGTGCTTCTGGTGCTCAGAGGCGGGGAGCGGGGGGAGCCAGAGGGTTTGAGCGCCAGCCAAGGGGAGTCTGAGTGACGGCAGCCCCGAGGGTCTCGCCAGGATGTGTGTGTGGCCATGCACGGGGAGTCAGGTTTTCCTGGGGCCTGGGAGAGCTGTTTTCTAAGCAGACGATCATGTCTCCTGTGAATAATGACGGCTTTATCAGGCGCTTCCCACCATTTCCCCTCTGACTTCTTTTTCTTGCCTGACAGCGTTACCAGACAGTGTGGATGGCACGGTGAGAGCACACC